TATCAAATAAATCAAAAATTCAGGTCAAATGTTAAATCCCTTGCCATGTAAGCATGACATGGCAATTTTTTTGCCATCCAAGCAGCCAAGCGGGGTGTGTCCTCAACGGCAGTTAAGTTGGCGTAAGAAGAAGGGCTTAATTGCTTTGATCCCCGAGTTCAAGGGCTTATATGCATCAATTACAGTCTAGGGGCTTAATAGCGATTCTGGGGTTGGTTCAGGGGCTTAACTTATGGTTTTGCCTAAATTCAACTACAAACAAGTATTGTTGGTTTTTTATGTCAAAATAAAAATAAAAAAATAAGTTCTTAATTTAAATATGTATTTTAATAATTTCTTGAAAGATATTAACTATATATTATTGGTTGGTTCATTTCATAACTCAAATTATATATATATATTTTTTAATTCTCTGATACCGTCAATTTTTTCTTTACAAATTTAACATTTAACATGATTTTAATTATCGTTGCTCACAGATTATAATTTCCACTTCTTCTCAACATCACTCTTGCTCTGCTTTCTTTGATTAAAAAATAATGGTTTTAATGAAATTGGACCTTTTTAATTTGCAGGTTGACATTCCTCTCTTGGATGACTTGTATCTGGACTCCATTTGTGTACAGCAAATATGGCACAGCCAAATTACATCAATGTCCTCATTTGTTCAAAACTTTACGAAATTGACTCTCCGAGACTGTCATAAGTTGAAATATCTCTTCACGTCATCGATGGTTAAAAGTCTTGGGCAGCTTGAAGTACTCAAGATTTGGGGAGGTAAGGATATGCAAGTGGTAATGCTGATAGAAGAATTGGTAGAAAAAGAAAAGACAAGCCACACAATGTTTCCCAAATTAGACTGCTTAGACCTCTATGACCTTCCGCAACTCGTAAGATTTTGCTCCAATTGCAATTCTCTTGGAGAAGTATATGAAGCTCAAGGACTCAATGGTAGTGGATCACAAGTAGTTGCAGCCACACAATCAAACTTGATGGAAACAGAAGTTACTCAGCTTGTATTTCCTCAAGTAACACACCTGGAACTTGATCATCTACCCAATTTCAAGGGTTTCTTCCCTCAAATCCACATCACAAAATGGCCATTGTTGAAAAGAATGCTTGTGGAACAATGTGACAAGGTGAAGACATTTGCTTCAGAATTTCCAAGCATTGAAATAACATATGGAGACAACCAACTTGAAAGGCAAACTCAAGATCCTATGCTTTGGATTGGCAAGGTACGACACCAAATGGGAAAAAATAATTGCATGTAGCTTATACAAATCATTTTTTTCTTAAATTCAAGTAGGAAGAAGTAGGAAAACTAAATAAAAAAAAATCAATCAATCAAAGCTTACCTTCTTCTCTTTTGATCTTTTCTAAATTTTGCTTTATTTTTATTTTATCTAAAAATAATGACTTTTCTCTCATTTTTTAATCTGCCATGGAAGTATTTGGGAACTAAAATTTTTCATATGTGAAAAATTAAGTCGCCTGTTATTATTTAGCTTAAATACATATTTATTGGGAATGCAATGCAATGTGGTTTCCATCTATAATTTTGCATTTGTACACTTTAATGTAATATGATATCTTCTTATTTAATTTTATGAAGCCAATCAAATTATAATATTTGTAAAAAAATTTGATTAGTTTTGTTTCTTTTCTTCTTCTTCTTCTTCTTCTTTTTTTTCTTTTTTTATCTCTAATGGAAGATTCTCGTACATGTATATAGCTATTAGACAAATGTTGGCTTGGGTTTAAGTTTTGACAAGTGATATATAACTACCTTTCTTGAAGTATGGATTTCATAATTTTTACTTGTTTAGAGCTCATGCTAACCAATTAGACAGACGTTTCAAAGAATAGAGCAAATGCAGCTTGTTAGTAAGCATAGGTTAGTTAACTCACATATAGATAGGTCTCAATATAGTCAAGACATAGTATTAATAGAATATAGATAAATGTAAAACATTTTTAGACATGAAAGTATCTCATATTAATATGACATATCATAGTGCCACTTTAAATAACATGTCTAATCACATGCCAAAGGTAGTCATAACATACCCCCAACTGCGCAATGGTCCAAAAACACACACTCATGAGCTTACAAAAATCTTCGTGACATAGGACAGATGGCATGCTTTTGCATTATGTAGCTTAATCGCAAAACACGTTATACAAAGGATTTGTCTTGTATACCTATTTTGTATATTTTTATTCAATTTATAACATGTTGTATTTTTCAATTTGTCAGGATTCATTCCCCTGTCTAGAAGAACTGGAATTCAAACAGAATGACAACATGAAGGAGATATGGCGTGGTCAATATCCAGGGGTCTATTTTCCCAAACTAAAAGATATTAAATTCCTCCAATTTCAAAATTGCTCAGCTCTTCTTCCTTCTTTTAGTTTCTTCTTCCAGACACTACCCAATCTTGAGGAGCTGGATGTGAGTGAAGCTTCCTTTCATGAAATTTTCCAATGTGAGAGACTTCGTCGTGAGGGAAGGCCTACGCCCTCTCGGTTAAGTGAATTAAAATTATCAAAACTTAATGAGTTAATGCATCTTTGGAAGGAAGAATCTGACCTCAAATCGATTTTCTACAACTTGAGAACTCTAGAGGTGCTTGAGTGTATTAAATTGGTGAATTTAGTGCCATCAGTTGTATCTTTTGAGAACCTGCAGACTCTAGAAATATCAAAATGTCATGGACTTGAAAATTTAGTGAGTTACTCAACTGCTAAAAGCTTGAAACGGCTGGAAACAATGAGCATAACAGATTGTGACTTAGTGGAAGAAATTGTCAAATGCATGGAAGATAATGTGAAGGATGGCATTGTCTATGGCCAACTCCAGTCTTTGCAACTTCGCGGTCTTCCCAAACTGTCAAGCTTTTGCACAGGGAAGTGTGACTTGGAGTTCCCATCTTTGAAAGAAGTAATTGTGATAGGATGTCCACAAATGAAATATTTTTCCTTGGGAAAGACAGTAACAAAGGAATTACAAAATGTTCAATGGATAGATGGTGGAGAGAAAGGACACTGGGTAAGCGATCTTAACAGCACAGTACAAGACTTATACACTCAAAAGGTACACACTAATTCAAAAGATTTCCTTGTGTGTTTCTCAATCATTATATATTCAGCCTTCTTTACTTACTATTACTGGATTTAGTGAAATAGAAGAAGAACATGTAAATACAATATGATTTAAGAAAACCTTTTAAATGATTTTTTTGTTGGGAATGTATGGGATAGTTTAGAGTGAAGAGTAAAGAATTGTATGGGTCTACTTTCTTCCTTTTGGATAGCCAAGAGACTAGCCATTCTCTCTTGTTTGAACTTTCTCAGAGGCATAGAATAGAGCACTTTCAATAAGGGGATTAGAAGAAGAGCTTACAAGGTCAATTGAGGACGGCTTCACTTTTGCTTAGTTTCTGAATCTAAAGTACATTAAAAGAACCAAGGGTTGATCATTCATTTTCTATAATCCTTAATTTAATAATCAAAGAGACATTAGTGTAGTGACAGAGAGGAAACAACTTTAATTTTAAAAACTTAAAGGAATATTTTTGTATATTTCTCTAAGTTGATTTTGTGATTAATTGGATAGAGTTATTAATGTATTTTCTTTCTTTGATTAATATCATTGTTATTGTTATTGAGTTCTGTGTCATATCAAGGCAATTAATCTGTTGGGTTTTATAGGTTGGATACTTTGGGTTTGAAAGTTTGAAACTCTTCGAGTTTTCTAAGTTAATTCAAATTTGGAAAAGGAATTCTGAAGAATTAGCATTACCTTTCAAAAAGATTCAATCTCTAGAAGTTAATAATTGTAGCAGCTTGAGCTACCTTCTAACCCCCTCCGTGGTAATGCGCCTTGAGCAACTCAAGAACTTGAAGGTAAAAGACTGTGCAGCAATAGGACAAGTGATCATGGCTACAAGAGTTGGGGAGGTGGTTGAATCTGACTCAATATTATTCCCACAACTAAAGTCCATTTCACTAGAGTTTTGCTCCAAGTTGTCAAGTTTCTATGTGGGAAGTAAGACCCTCAAGTTTCCAATGTTGGAGGAAATTACTGTGATGGACTGTCTAAAGATGGTTAGATTCACTTCTAAATTTTCAAGTGAGCAAGAGAAAGAGACAACTGATGGAAGAAGTGAGGAATTGCTTGTCAAGAAAGAACCTAATATCTTCATTGAGGCCTTTTTCTGTGATGAGGTCAGTTTTATTTTTTTATTTTTTATTGTTTTAAAATTTCTTCACAAATTTGATAAGAGCAAGACTTCACTGTTCCTTTTTTGCATAGCATAATTTCCACACTTCCACATCGCTTCAATAACTTTATGGACACAAATGTATTTGATGCACAAAAGTCAAAAGACTATTCATATTTTTTTAATCTATAGCATCTACTCTTTTTACTCGAGAATAATTTCCACTATTCTACGTCTTCAATAACTTTATGTTCAAAAGCCTGTATATAGAATTCATATATTCATATATTTTTAATTTATGAATTACATATAATGGGAATATACACTGTAGCCATAGCAAGTATAGAAGCCTAGGTACTTTTATTCCTCTTCAACTAAACTTTTTTAATTCATCAAAATTAATATCATATGAAATTCATGCTTATATTTCCATGTCATTCCAACACTTTTCTTTTATTCAAGAAGAAAAGTTTTAATATAAGGCCTAACATACTTAACCCTTTTTTTAGTGATAAGGTCATTATTTTTTTTTTTTTGTGAAAATTATTTTTGTACTTCCTTAAAAGGTGTTTGGAATTTAGATGCTGATGCTACTATCTCCATTTATTTACCTATTTGTTATCAATCACCATAAACAGTTATGGCTATACAATATTCTTCCACACCTTTACTTAAAATGTGAAATTACTCAAACAATGTTAAAGTAACTCAAATTGAGATGGATGTTATCATCGGAAATGTTTATGAACATTATTCTCATATTCTTAATTTGAAATTTTATAATGTTGTTTTCTTTGGATTAAGAAAAAAGTTATTTATAATAGACGATCTCTTTGCAGGTCGAGTTTCCCAATTTGAACCTTTTGAAGCTGTCTTCAATTAACATTAGTCAAATTTGGAACAAGAATCATGAAGCAATCTCATCTTTCAAAAAGCTTCAACATCTAGAAATTTGTAATTGTAGCAGTTTGAGCTACCTTCTAACCCCTTCCATGGTATTGCGCTTTGGGCAACTCAAGAACTTGAAGGTGAAAGACTGTGCAGCAATAGAACAAGTTATCATAGCTACAGGAGTTGGAGAGGTAGTTGAATCTGACTCAATATCATTCCCACAACTAAAGTCCATTTCACTGGAGTCTTGCTCCGAGTTGTCAAGTTTCTATGTGGGAAGTAAGATCCTCAAGTTTCCAATGTTGGAGGAAATTATTGTAAAGAAATGTCTACAGATGGTTAGATTCACTTCTAAATTTTCAAGTGAGCAAGAGAAAGAGACAACTGATGGAAGAAGTGAGGAAATTCTTGTCAAGAGAGAACCTAATATCTTCGTTGAGCCCTTTTTCTGTGATAAGGTGAGTTTTATTTTTTTTTTTTTTTTTAAATTTCTTCACAAAATTGATAAGAACAAGACTTCACTGTTCCTTTTTTGCATAGTATAATTTCTACACTTCCACATCACTTCAATAACTTTGAGGACACAGATGTATTTGATGCACAAAAGTCAAAAAGGCTATTCATATTTTTTTAATCTATAGCATCTACTCTTTTTACGTGAGCATAATTTCCACTACTCTACATCACTTCAATTACTTTATGGTTAAGAGGCTATATAGAGAATTCATATATTCATATATTTTTAATCTATAAATTACATATAATGGGAATATATGCTGTAGTGATAAAAAGTATGAAAGCCTGAGTATTGCCACTCCTCTTTAACTAAACTTTTCTTATTCGTCAAAATTTATATCAAATGAAATTCATACTCATACTTTCATGTCATTCCTACACTTTTCTTTGATTCAAGAATAAAAGTTTTAATATAACACTTAACATTCTTACTTAACCTTTTCTCAGTGATAAGGTTTTTTTCTTTTTTTGAAAATTATTTTTGTGTTTCTTTAAAAGGTGATTGGAATTTTGATGCTGATACAACGATCTCTATTTATTTACTTTTGTTATATCAATCACCATAAACAATTGTGGCTAGATATTCTTCCACATTTTCACTTAAAATGTGAAATCACTCAAACAATGTTAAATTAAACCAAATAGAGTCTACTGCCATCATTGGAAATGTTTATAAATGTTATTCTTATATTTTTATTTTGAAATTGTTAATGAATTTTATTCTCATATTCTTAATTTGGAATTGTGTAACATTGTTTTCTTTGGATTAAGAAAAAGTTGTTCATAACAGAGGATCTCTTTGCAGGTTGAGTTTCCTAATTTGAAGATTTTGAAGCTATCTTCAATTAACATTAATCAAATCTGGCACAATCAGATTTCAGAAAACCATTCTATTAAAAATTTAAAAGAGTTGGTTGTGGAGGGCTGTGGTACTTTGAAATATCTATTGACATCCTCTATGGTTGAAAGTTTTCAGCAACTCACAAGGCTCAAGATTTGTGGTTGTAAGATAATGGAAAGGGTAATAGTCATTGAACAATTAGAAGAAGAGAAAAGGATGAGGCAGATTTTCTTTCCTAAGCTTGACTCTCTAGTTCTCCAAGAACTTCCAAATTTCACTAGATTTTGTTCTGGAAATTTTTTGGAATTCCCCTCCCTTACAGAACTTACAATAAGCAAGTGCTCTATGTTGAAGACATTCATCTCCAGTTTTGCTATAGGGAACATGACAATCAACACTGAAAATGAAGTGAATGCTGCACCATCTCTCTTTTATGAAAAGGTGGTTTCTTCTCTCTCTCTCTCTTTTTATTATTAATTTTTTAGAATTTGACTCATTAAACTTTGATATTTTAATCCATAGCATCTGTTCTTTTTACACAGCATATACTTTCCAATATTCCACTATTCCACATCACTTCACAATAACTTTATGTTCAAAAGGCTGTATATAGAATTCATATATTCATATATTTTTAATCTATAAATTACATATAATGGGAATATATATTGTAGTAATTGCAAGTATAAAAGCCTAGGTACTTTCATTCCTCTTTAACTAAACTTTTTTAATTCATTAGAATTAATATTTATATGAAATTCATGCTCATACTAACATGTCATTTTAACACTTTTCTCTAATTCAAGAATAAAATTTTTAATGTAAAGCCTAACATTCTTAACCTTTTTCCAGTGATAATGTCAGATTTTTTTTTTTTTTGTTAAAACTAATTTTGTACTTCTTTAAAAGGTCTTTGGAATTTGGATGTTGAGGCTACTATCTCCATTTATTTATCTTTTTTATATCAATTACCATAAACAGTTGTGGCTAGACAATATTCTTCCACATTTTTGCTTAAAATGTAAAATTACTCAAATAATGTTAAACTAGCCCAAATAGAGACGGGTGTCATAATTGGAAATGTTTATGAAAGTTATTCTCAAATTCTTAATTTGAAATTATATAACATTGTTTTCCTTGAATTAAGAAAATGTTGTTCATAATAGAGGATCTCTTTGCAGGTCAAGTTTCCCAATTTGAAGCTTTTGAAGCTATCTTCACTTAACATTAATCAAATTTGGAACAAGAATCATAAAGAAATCTCATCTTTCAAAAAGCTTCAACATCTAGAAGTTTGTAATTGTAGCAGCTTGAGCTACCTTCTAACACCTTCCATGGCATTGGGCCTTGTGCAACTCAAGGACTTGACGATAAAAGATTGTGCAGCAATGGAACAAGTGATCATGGCTGCAAGAGTTGAGGAGGTAGTTGAAACTGGCTTAATATTCCCACAACTGGACTACATTTTGCTAGCGTCTTGTTCCAAGTTGTCATGTTTCTATTTGGGAAGTAACACCCTCAAGTTTCCAATGTTGGAGAAAATTATTGTGAAGAATTGTCTAAAGTGGGTTAGATTTACTTCCAAATTTCTAAGTGACAGAGAGAGAGAGATAGCTGATGGAAGAGGTGAGGAAGTGCATGTCAAGGAAGAACTTGATATCTTCATTGAGACCTTTTTCTGTGATGAGGTGAGTTTTCATTTTTCTTTTTCTTTTTTTCATTTTTTCATTTTTTTTTTTGTGAAAAATTTCTTCACAAATTTGACAAGAATAAAACTTCGCTATACTTCTTCCGTGGAGTATAATATAATTTTCACCATTCTACAGCACTTCTATAAATATGGATATAAATGTCTTTGATGCATAAAGGTTAAAAGCCTTAACAAATATTAAAACTTGTATACTGTTATTCCTCTTCAACTAAATTTTTCTACATCAAAATTTGTATCGTATGAAATTCAAGTTTATAGTTCTATGTCATTCCTACACTTTTCTTTGATTCAAGAATAAAAGTTTTACTGAAATTAAAACTTTTTCGTAGGTTGAGCTTCCTATCTTGAAGAAGTTGACTCTGTCCTCAATCAATGCAAAGCAAACTTGGAACAGTCATCTTTCATCAATAACTTCATTTGCTCAAAATTTAATAAAGTTGAAGGTGGTCAACTGTTCCAATTTGAAGTATCTATTTACATTCTCAATACTTAAAAGTTTTGTGCAACTTAAAAAACTCAGGATTAGTGGATGTGAGATGATGGAAGTGGTAATATTGATAGAAGGGACAGTGGAAGAAGAAAAGATTTGCCAGACGGTGTTCCCCAAGCTAGAGATCTTGACACTTAATGACCTACCCCAACTTGCAACATTTTGCTCCAATTGTGATTCTCTAGGAAAAATTTCTGACTCTGGAAGAGTCAATTTTGATACTAGATCACAAAAACTGCTAGTCACGCAATCGACTTTGGTTGAAACAGAAGCCGCCAAGCTTGTATTTTCTCAAGTGAAAGTGCTGTCACTTAGACTCTTACCGAAATTCAAGAGTTTCTTCCCTCAAATGCACATCACAGAATGGCCATCATTGAAAAGTTTAGTTGTGATCGAATGTCATGGAGCACAAATAGTTGCTTCAGAATTTTCTAGCACTGAGATGACACATGGAGACAGCCAACTTGAAAGGGAATCTCAACATCTCATGTTTTGGATTAGCAAGGTACGCACAATCAAGTCTAATAGGAAAAAATGCATATATCTAATACAAATACATGCTCTTCATTTTTGTTCTTATAGTGAATGAAGGAAAGAAATAGGAAAAGTAATCTATGAAGACAAAATAAAGAGAATTTTCCATTTGTTTTCCTTGTGTTCTAATTTATTTTATTTTGAAGATAAAGAAATAAAATTATCAGAACTTCGTAAATTAATATCTCAACCTTGTCTTGAATTCCTACGTGTAGAGATTGTTCACTCTAATTTAAAATTGTCTTGCTCTCATTTTTTCTAATACTAGCAAAAATGTTGTTATCCCAATCCTAAATCAGGAGTAAGCTCCAC